CGTTACTCCTTCTGGATCCTGTGTGCTTGTACCTGAGACTGGGCAAGGCAGGGAATATTAATGTTTTACAGGAAGGCTTGCAGCTTTTTTTTCCAGTTTCCTATTTATCAGACATTCCTACTACTGGCTAAACACCAAAGTATTTTCAGCTGGACACGTAGAATGAGACTTCATGAGATTTTGCTTTTACTTTTTTAAATGAATTAAACTTACAGCTTTGGCTATCTGAGTATTTTTTCAAAGTCAACCCACTTTTCTGTTTATATGTTGGAAACAGCCCCAGAACTTCCTCATTTTTTCCTTTGACTCCTCCTCTAACAGTAGCATTTTCCATTATCTAATGCAGGGGAGTAGTTCCTGTAAACTGTATGTTGAGACTTGTATTACGCAACCTTTACAAAAATAAAAAAGCAGAAGTCAAAGGACAGTCAGAAGTTTGAATTTAAAAAGAAGTCTCTTTACTAAAGTGTTAGAGTATAGCAATAGGAATAAGAAAGAACTTCCAGGAAAATTTATAAAGCTATGTAACATCCCTACATGAGTACCCAAGAGAGGAATTCTTTGTCTGCATTTCTGTTCACAGAAATGCAAATGCAAGCTATCGTAATTACACAGGAATTACATCCTCCAGATGCAAAAAGAGTGCATTTTTTGAACAGTTTTGAAAATCCTCTGAAGAAGCCTGCAGATGAACAAGCCAACCATAGGAAAAAGCAATTATGAACGGGATGCAACTATTCAGAAGTGAGGTGTACTTCCACGGCAGACAAATTTGTGTCAAAGGAACGTGTCATTTTAAGAGAAAGCCTCTGTAGGAGGCACTTAGAGTGTTAATGTCTTGTTTGAAACTAATGCATTTTTTGAACTACTAAAATGATAATTTGCTGGCAGTGACAAATCTCAGGACTCTATTTTCCATGGAAAACTTTCCACCAGGCTGCTTTCAACGTTTGTATTGATTGTGATAAAAGGGGAAGTCTTTTATTTTTCCTTTATGCTAATGATATATGAATAATAGTGTGTCATTTTGCTTCCCTTAAGACAGCCTGAAAACTCGTATACACTTGATTTTTATGTCAGATGTTCAATATATATTGTCTAGTTTCATGATCTTTATTTTCAATTTGATTCATCTTTTTCTGTATTACTTGAGCCTGCCAATGTGGTTTTTTTCCTTAATGGATTCATCAATGGCAAGTGAAAACAGAGCCAAAAGACTCCATTGACTTGCGAAGATTTGGACTTTAATTAATGGAAATATATGATTGTTTAATCATGTTTTCTACTGTAAGAGACTATTTGGATCATGTAAACAGATTTCCTCCCCCCTCCCCCCCCACCCAAGCATTACATTTGTTGAAAAGCAATGGGAAGCAAAGGCTCGTGATGCCACTGGAAAGGAATGAATTGTACGCCATATGTGTCTCTCTTTTCACAGGAGAGCACCACCAGGAAAATGCCGAGTTGAGCCTTTGCCAGTGAAAGTAAAAAGCAAGCTCATAAAGTTTGTGCCAAAGGAGAGTAAGTATAATTGTTGCTGCTTATTATTGATACATGTTGGTTGGCAGTGAGTATAAACTCGAAGCTTGTCCTATCTCTGTATGTGTGGAGACCACCCGGAACGTCAGCCTTCGGAGTAGCCTCTAAATTCATTTTTACCAGGTGTTTTGAATATGAGGAGTTGGCTCAAATAAGCCAGGTGATAGGCGTTACTTCCCCGCTCCTATCCATGGGGAATCTTCTCTGTGTACTCTGCCCCTAAATTTCTTCTCTTTTCACGCTACACAGTAACAGGGCTCTTTCTTTAAGAGCAACGTGGTGTCCTCCTAAGGGTTTCTGTATGGAGATCCTGTGCTGTGGTGCTTTTCAGTAACAAGAGATTTTTGCAGTGCCTTTAGGGAGTGAGGAGCACTTCGGGAGGTGAAGGATATTATGGCTAAAGGGTTGGGAAAAAGCTCATGGAGCAAGATCAGCTCTGAGTCATCTCTGCCTGTAAGTAAGAGAATATGTGATGAGAAAATGCTCCCAAAAGACAGCCTGATCAGCTATTCAGGTGAACTTTTGTTTTACCCAAACCCTCCAGGGCATTTTGATTGCTCCTTACTGAATGCACTATTGTGCTGCTAAAACTGGAGTAGTGGAAGATGTAGCTGAATCTGCAGCAAACCAAATACTATTTATGTTAAAAACAAAAAAAACTAAATGCACTAATAGATTCTCAGAATTAGATTGGCAGTATCTCATTTCTTTTCTGCAATATATTTTGTTTGCACATTTAAGTACCTAGGCAGTACTCTAACAAGTTTGAAATTAAGTTAATATTATGGCAGGAACTTTAAAGTTTGTATATTCTTATTTAATTTTTAATTACATTAATTGTGCTACACTATATTTAAATCATTGACGTTGCTTCCCACAGCTTTGACTTAATGAAGGGAATGAGAGTACTCAGCACCTTATGAGATTAAATCTTTTAAGGTGGAACAAACAAGGCTAATTATTAACTGTTGCGATGCCTTTGGAAACATGCCCCTGTGGAAGCTCTGCACACGGTTTTCAAACGTTGTTTATTTTGCTCATGTTCGACCAGTTCTGTCTCTATTTTTTTGTTGTGGATTACTTGCCGTGCAAGCTAAGCATGCTTTCGTCACAAAATAAAACCTGGAAACAGTGGGAGAGATTCTTTCAAGAACTACATTCAGGTTTAGGTGAAAACCAAGCATGAAAATTTTAATTCAGAATCATGAAAACAAGGCTGGATAGCTGTAAATATTCTGTTGTTTTGGCTAGTGTTTAGTGTGAATGCTACAGAATCGCCAAAGCTTGCAGCTTACGTTAGCTGAATGAAGGCATTTCTTGGAAATGTGTTTAATAAATCAGTTGAGGAAGAATAATATATAATAACAGCTTAGTTTAGCAAGGTGAAGAGCACTCCCAGAAGACCATTAGGTTTCCTGCAGTCCTACATGTCATTATATGAATTCCAGAATTGTGAACTGCTTTACTAGGTCGGTCTTTGAAGGCAGAGGTGTGCACGGATCAGGCTTGCACATTTATTTCTTGTTTTCAAAACCTCAGCTTCCAGAGAAGGGCAGACTTTTCATGCCATAAATAGACTGTTTCTCCAAATAGGAGGTTGTTGAGAGGCTGTTCCAAAAAGCGGGCTATTCCAAAGGTTTGCCTTTTTGGGACAATGGAGATTGAGTAATATTAAGATGGCTTTGATTGCCGTGTTTTTCCCTGTCCCTAAACTACAAAGCAAATGAATGAGAATGGAGGATAAATCTAGGCTATAATTCGAAAGGTTGTGATGTCTTTGCGAATACATATGACGCTGTCACAACTCAGTTGGTTGCTATTTTGAGTCATTCCAAATTACTTCCTTTTGACAAGCTAAGATTTGTTTTTAAGCTAGAAATAGAGCGCCTGTGAATAAGCAAGTCCAGTAACACCTGGAAACTTAATTCGAAAGGTTGTGATGTCTTTGCGAATACATATGACGCTGTCACAACTCAGTTGGTTGCTATTTTGAGTCATTCCAAATTACTTCCTTTTGACAAGCTAAGATTTGTTTTTAAGCTAGAAATAGAGCGCCTGTGAATAAGCAAGTCCAGTAACACCTGGAAACCTGGAAACTGTGACAGCAAAGAGTTTTAAGCTCTTTGGAGTTCAAGGCTGTGGGTTTTTTTTTTTTTTTAAAGGGGGAAGGAAAGAAACAACCCCAAATCCTGTTTTATGTGTTGTCCTGGCAACTCCGTTCCTTTTGCACATTCCAGTTACCAGAGAGAATTGGTTTTGAATGTTCATGACTCCAGCTACTCTGAATAAAGCATCTGGCACAGTGGGGAGGCCGGAGCTCTCGCGGCCTGGTAACGATCCAATCCTGAGTAATGAAGGGAATAGCAGAAGTCGTGCTGTCTCCAAAATGCCTTCGGCCGGGGAGAAGGGTCTGGTGGGGAACTCCTCTTCTCCCGGCGAAGCTTCGGCTCTGACCCTTTGGCGGCTGCGCTGGCGTCCTGCCCGTGAAGGGCTTGGGAATTTGGTAGCGTTTCCTTCTCGGGGCGGGGGGAAGAGTCTCGTTCGCTGGCGTTAAGCGGTGCAGTCCTCTCCGCTTAACTAAAAGCAGCAGACGTTTTACCGCTGATGACATTGGCTCCCCAGAAACGTTTTCGCTCCTCCACCGGCTCAAGGAAGCAAAACCCACCAGGGGAATTAAATAAGGCAAATGTTTTCAAGCACCGTTTTTATACGGCTATTTTTAGACGCTGTCGTAGAATCGCAGCCTCACGTTTGCCTCCCTTTTTCCCCCCTCCCAACAGAACTGATAGTGAAGACGCCCACGCCGCGGCCTCGGCCCAGGGCCCCGACCAGGGCGCCGGGGGGCGGCGCGGATACATGTTGGTTGGCAGTGAGTATAAACTCGAAGCTTGTCCTATCTCTGTATGTGTGGAGACCACCCGGAACGTCAGCCTTCGGAGTAGCCTCTAAATTCATTTTTACCAGGTGTTTTGAATATGAGGAGTTGGCTCAAATAAGCCAGGTGATAGGCGTTACTTCCCCGCTCCTATCCATGGGGAATCTTCTCTGTGTACTCTGCCCCTAAATTTCTTCTCTTTTCACGCTACACAGTAACAGGGCTCTTTCTTTAAGAGCAACGTGGTGTCCTCCTAAGGGTTTCTGTATGGAGATCCTGTGCTGTGGTGCTTTTCAGTAACAAGAGATTTTTGCAGTGCCTTTAGGGAGTGAGGAGCACTTCGGGAGGTGAAGGATATTATGGCTAAAGGGTTGGGAAAAAGCTCATGGAGCAAGATCAGCTCTGAGTCATCTCTGCCTGTAAGTAAGAGAATATGTGATGAGAAAATGCTCCCAAAAGACAGCCTGATCAGCTATTCAGGTGAACTTTTGTTTTACCCAAACCCTCCAGGGCATTTTGATTGCTCCTTACTGAATGCACTATTGTGCTGCTAAAACTGGAGTAGTGGAAGATGTAGCTGAATCTGCAGCAAACCAAATACTATTTATGTTAAAAACAAAAAAAACTAAATGCACTAATAGATTCTCAGAATTAGATTGGCAGTATCTCATTTCTTTTCTGCAATATATTTTGTTTGCACATTTAAGTACCTAGGCAGTACTCTAACAAGTTTGAAATTAAGTTAATATTATGGCAGGAACTTTAAAGTTTGTATATTCTTATTTAATTTTTAATTACATTAATTGTGCTACACTATATTTAAATCATTGACGTTGCTTCCCACAGCTTTGACTTAATGAAGGGAATGAGAGTACTCAGCACCTTATGAGATTAAATCTTTTAAGGTGGAACAAACAAGGCTAATTATTAACTGTTGCGATGCCTTTGGAAACATGCCCCTGTGGAAGCTCTGCACACGGTTTTCAAACGTTGTTTATTTTGCTCATGTTCGACCAGTTCTGTCTCTATTTTTTTGTTGTGGATTACTTGCCGTGCAAGCTAAGCATGCTTTCGTCACAAAATAAAACCTGGAAACAGTGGGAGAGATTCTTTCAAGAACTACATTCAGGTTTAGGTGAAAACCAAGCATGAAAATTTTAATTCAGAATCATGAAAACAAGGCTGGATAGCTGTAAATATTCTGTTGTTTTGGCTAGTGTTTAGTGTGAATGCTACAGAATCGCCAAAGCTTGCAGCTTACGTTAGCTGAATGAAGGCATTTCTTGGAAATGTGTTTAATAAATCAGTTGAGGAAGAATAATATATAATAACAGCTTAGTTTAGCAAGGTGAAGAGCACTCCCAGAAGACCATTAGGTTTCCTGCAGTCCTACATGTCATTATATGAATTCCAGAATTGTGAACTGCTTTACTAGGTCGGTCTTTGAAGGCAGAGGTGTGCACGGATCAGGCTTGCACATTTATTTCTTGTTTTCAAAACCTCAGCTTCCAGAGAAGGGCAGACTTTTCATGCCATAAATAGACTGTTTCTCCAAATAGGAGGTTGTTGAGAGGCTGTTCCAAAAAGCGGGCTATTCCAAAGGTTTGCCTTTTTGGGACAATGGAGATTGAGTAATATTAAGATGGCTTTGATTGCCGTGTTTTTCCCTGTCCCTAAACTACAAAGCAAATGAATGAGAATGGAGGATAAATCTAGGCTATAATTCGAAAGGTTGTGATGTCTTTGCGAATACATATGACGCTGTCACAACTCAGTTGGTTGCTATTTTGAGTCATTCCAAATTACTTCCTTTTGACAAGCTAAGATTTGTTTTTAAGCTAGAAATAGAGCGCCTGTGAATAAGCAAGTCCAGTAACACCTGGAAACCTGGAAACTGTGACAGCAAAGAGTTTTAAGCTCTTTGGAGTTCAAGGCTGTGGGTTTTTTTTTTTTTTTTTAAAGGGGGAAGGAAAGAAACAACCCCAAATCCTGTTTTATGTGTTGTCCTGGCAACTCCGTTCCTTTTGCACATTCCAGTTACCAGAGAGAATTGGTTTTAAGCTCTTTGGAGTTCAAGGCTGTGGGTTTTTTTTTTTTTTTTAAAGGGGGAAGGAAAGAAACAACCCCAAATCCTGTTTTATGTGTTGTCCTGGCAACTCCGTTCCTTTTGCACATTCCAGTTACCAGAGAGAATTGGTTTTGAATGTTCATGACTCCAGCTACTCTGAATAAAGCATCTGGCACAGTGGGGAGGCCGGAGCTCTCGCGGCCTGGTAACGATCCAATCCTGAGTAATGAAGGGAATAGCAGAAGTCGTGCTGTCTCCAAAATGCCTTCGGCCGGGGAGAAGGGTCTGGTGGGGAACTCCTCTTCTCCCGGCGAAGCTTCGGCTCTGACCCTTTGGCGGCTGCGCTGGCGTCCTGCCCGTGAAGGGCTTGGGAATTTGGTAGCGTTTCCTTCTCGGGGCGGGGGGAAGAGTCTCGTTCGCTGGCGTTAAGCGGTGCAGTCCTCTCCGCTTAACTAAAAGCAGCAGACGTTTTACCGCTGATGACATTGGCTCCCCAGAAACGTTTTCGCTCCTCCACCGGCTCAAGGAAGCAAAACCCACCAGGGGAATTAAATAAGGCAAATGTTTTCAAGCACCGTTTTTATACGGCTATTTTTAGACGCTGTCGTAGAATCGCAGCCTCACGTTTGCCTCCCTTTTTCCCCCCTCCCAACAGAACTGATAGTGAAGACGCCCACGCCGCGGCCTCGGCCCAGGGCCCCGAC